CTGCGGGGGTGGGGCCGGCGCCCGCACCTGGCGCCACGGCTTGCCTGCCCTGATCGCTCGAAACCAGCAAACGCCGCCTCCGGCTTCGCCAATCCCTCTGGAACCCCGAAAACCAATCTGTTTCATAGGATGCTGAAGAGAACACGGCGCAGCAGCTGGCGCTGGAGGACGCGGAAGCTGACGAGCACCTGTACCTCTTCCAGCTGCCCTCCGTACTGCCGCTCGCGCCCCCAAAGCCCGCCAAAGTCAAGAGCGAACCGGAGGTGAAAGAGGAGCCTGGCGGCGGCGCCGGCGCCGCCGGCGCCCGCGCCGCCGCCGCCGCGCAGGCGGCGGCCCTGCGCCAAAAGGCCGCCGACGCCCTCGCTGCCGCCGCGGCCGGGCCGGCCGGCGCGGCGCTGCCGCAGCTGGCGGGGCGGACCGTCGGGCAGCTGCTCGTGTTTGAGAGCGGGCGCGTAAAGCTGCGGATGGGGGACGCGTTGTTGGACGTGTCCTGCGGCGTGCCCTGCAGCGCCCGGCAGGACGTGGCCATTGTCAACCCACAGGGCGGCGGCGGCGGCGCGTCGGGCGGTGGCGGCGGCGGTGGCGAGGGCAAGGGGCACCTGCTGCTGCTGGGGGCGGTGTCGCAGCGCGTGCTGGTGACGCCAGACGTGTGGCAGCTCATGGCGGATGAGCCGGTGCCGGCCTACGAGGCGCCGGCCGGCGCCGCGGGCGCGAGCGGGCGCGGCGCGGCCGCGGGCAAGGCGGACGCGGCGGCGGGGGTTGCGGCGAACGGAAGGCATGAGGACTCGGAAATGGAGGGCGGGGCTGCAGGGGAGCGGGAAGAGGACGAGGGGGATGACTCGGAAGCGGCAGCAGCAGCGGACGGGGCAGAGGAAGCGTCGGATGAGGAAGAAGGGGAAGGCGGGCCGCAGCCAATGCAGGTGGACGGTGCCGCCGCGCGGGCAGCGGGGGCGGGGGAAAAGGCGTCGGCACCCCCAGCAGCGGCATCTGCAGCAGCAGCAACGTCGGCGGCAGCAGCAGAAGCATCGGCGGCAGCGGGGTCGCCGCCAGCAGGCGGCAAGGGGCCACAGCGGTTGCCTGCGACTGCAGCGGCGGCGGCGGGAGCCGCTCCGCCCCAGCCTGCCGCGCCGCCGCCTGCAGCGGCGCCGCAGCGGCTAGGCGGCGCGGGCGGCAGCGGGGCGCCTGTCGGCCGGCTAGGAGGCCTGGGCGGCGGGGGTGGGGGCGTCCGACGCGCGAAGCCTGTGCTTACAAAGCCTTCGGCCACCAAAAAGGCGGGGGCTAGCAACATAGAGTTTGATTTTCTGTAACTTTCCTCACTCCGATGGGTGCAGCAGAATTTTGCAGGCATCCAAGCATTCGCAATGTTTGCGTTTGCAACACTGTCAGTAACAGCCGCCTTTCTTTGGGGGCAGGCGGCAACGAATTCGGCAGCTCTCTGGCATGGGTGAAAAAAGAGGATAGAGGCAGCGCGTCAAGGTGCACGAAGGGCAGGGTGCGTGGCCGTGCACAGCACACCAGGTCGCCCAGCGAGTCAGCGTTTTAGTCATTGGGTGAGTCGCTGGCCTTGCCGTGCCGCCAGCCACCTCAGCCACCACTCAGTCGGGTGAAGGATCCTGCAGCTTCCTTGGGGGCTGCATGGCGACGCTCCTGGGCCGCAAACGCTTGATGGTGGGACGTTTTTCCTTCCCATTCAAGGTCGTCCTGAATTGTCATGCGGCGCTTTAGTGAAACATCTCAGCACAGCCAGGGATGCATGGCCAAATCCATCAAGACTGAATTCCCCTACGTACTAGCTGACTCACAAAGATGCAAACCAGCAAGTGACACCCGGTCTTGCACCCCTGTCCTTTAGCGTCACCCCTGCACACACTCGATGACGGCGCTGATGTGTTCCCATGACAGCACCAGACGATCGTGCGGCACGGCAGCTGGTCAGTGCATGTTATGGCTTGCGCGAAGCACAGCGGAAGGGATGTGTATCTGGCGAAGTTTCTGACTCTGGCAGGCAACATTGGATGACGCACAGCTGCTGCACCTGCCTCTCTGGCACTGCTACCGACCTGCGGTCAACCATGAGGCTGGCCCCGGCATATATACCAGTACAGGCGCTGTCAGAACATTTCTGCATCAATATTTGGCTTGTTAAGGCACAGTCGACTTATCCTACACCTTGTAGGCTACAGACGAGATCGTTCGCGGCGCCCGACCAACAAACCACACGCTTCAGATGTAAGCAGCGCTCTTTGCAAGGGATCCTCATTGGCGAGCCGCCTGCTTGCACTTCGTGAGAGCTTGATACGGATCAAGCCGATCTGGTGTCAGGCGGCTGGGTCAATCACCCCCTCGCTCACACCCCCACTGCCGCCCCCTGGCGGTTGGCTGCCCCCCACACGGCATACGTGCAACGCAGTGCTTTGTGTGGTATATACATACACAGCACGGCAAGCGACGCGCCCCCGATGCGGAACATGACGCTGCTGATGCTGGCGCTCGCCGCCCTCCTGGGCGCGGCCCATGGGCAGGTCAAAGATGCGCCAGGTAAGCGGCTGCGCCCCCGCCCACAATCACCACCACACCACAAGATCCTCGCCACAGCCGCGGCCGCGCTGGGGGTGCAACAATCCGCTTGCCCGCATGGACCAACATTGCAGCTCTTTGGCACCTCACAGCACGCCCCCCCCCCCTTGGGTCAACCGCCACCCACACCCTCGCCCCTACCAACCTACCAACCGCCGCCCGCGCCCGCCCGCACGCCCGCCGCAGCCGCCGCCGGCCCCCTCTGGGACGGCCCCTGCCCCGCGACCTGGCCTGCCGGCCTGAAGGGCACCGGCGTCGCCCTCACCCTGAAGTTTGCCGCTGACTCCGACGCTGACTGCGCCGCCCCCGGCTTCGCGAGCGCCGCCGCCTCTGTGTCCTCCAAGTCCGCCGCGGCGCTCACCGCGGTCGGCGCGCTGGCGGCCGTCGAGACGCGCGTGCTCGACCCCAGCGGCATCAAGTTCCTCCCGACCAACGTCGCAGGCTGCAAGGTGCGCACGGCAGCCCGGGCGCCCGCGACCCGCCGCGCGCCGGGGGCGCGCGCCCAAGTCGAGGGCGCCGCTGGGGTGCCGGGGCGTCGGGATGCGCGCCGGCACGCATGAATGGGCGCTGCACCAGGGGCATGAGTAGCTGGTGCACCGAGCCCGTAATCAGGCGCCCACCTCCGCCCGCCCTCGACCACCCTCGAAACCCGCAGAGCCAGGGCGGCGTGGGCGTGGCCCAGACCATCGTGGACGCCACCAAGACGTGGCTGGAGTGTGAGCCACCCCCCTGGCCCGCTCGCTCTTGATTGCTCCCGGTCCGCTCCCCCCGCCGCAGGCCCCGGGGAAGGGAGCGGGACGGTGGGGCATGGGCCAGCTGGCGGCTGCCATCGGGCTGCCTCAAAAGGGGGTCCCGCTGCGGCGCCGCGGTCCACGCAAAGCGCCGGCAGTCCCTTTTACCCTATGTGCCCTCACGGAGCCCCCACATGCCCCCAAACACACCCCAAACACATACCCACGCGCCCACTTCGCCCCTGCTTTCTGCCCAATGCGCCCCGCTCGTGCAGTCCCCGACGCGCGCTGGCAGCGCCAGCTGGCGGCCGACCTCCACCTGGCTGACGCCTGCCCCAGCAACCCCGCCTCCTACGAGCGCAAATCCCTCGGCAAGGTCTGGACCGCCTTCTGCTCCGAGATGGCCGCCGGCCGCCGCCTCGCGTCGGCCACGGCCTGCGTCCAGAACGCGCCGTCCGACATCACTTACGTCCCCGGCCGCGCCGCCGCCGCCTGCTTCCCGGGAGACGCGGCGCTGATGCGCGCGGACTCCGCGACGGGCGCCGCCCTCGGGCCGGCGCGGATGGACGAGCTGGCGATCGGGGACGCGGTACAGTGCCTGGTGCCATCGGGCGTCCCTGGGGGTCGCCGCGAGACGGGGCTGTACCGCGACGACCAGCAGGCGTACGCGCCGGGGGTGTGCCACGTTTTTGGGTACCTGGATGCCGACAAGGTGCGGGGCCCAGGGGGGGAAAGTAGAGGGTGTTTGGGGGGTGTACAGGTGGAGGGGGTGGCGCGTGAAGACCAGGCCGCTCAAGACGTCCTTTCCCCTAATCTCTGCTTCCCGCACGCAACAATCAACCCTGAACCGTCCCCTCCCTCAATCCTCTTCTCCTTGATACAGGACCGCCGCGTGTCATTCGTCGCCCTCCACTACACCGACGCCGCCGGCCGCCCCGCCAAGCTGCGCGCCAGCCCTGAGCACCTCGTGTACGTCGCCGCCGCCTCCATGGCCGCCGCGTCCGCATCCGCCGCCGCCGCGGCGCCCCTCAAGGAGCTGCCGCCGGGCGGCGCGGCGCGGCGCGCGGACGCCGTTTCGGTGGGCGACCTGCTTGCCGTGCAGTCCGAGGGCGGCGCTTACCGCCTTGCAGCCGTCAAGGAGATCACCAGGTGTGTCCAGTGCATCGCTGTGCTCGCCTTTGCCCTGAGGTTCTGCCTGCGCACATATCCTGCCCCTTAAGGGCTGCTTGTTTCTTTTTTGGCAGATTGCGTGCGTCTCGTCTCGGTCTCTCTTCCCGAGGTTTCTCGATGCGCATCATACGGCGTGCAGGTCATCCTCTGCACAGCAGTGACCGAAACAACGTCCCTTCGCCCCACATGGCCAACCCCCCGCGCGCCGCCGCGCAGGGAGGTGCACCAGGGCGCGTACGCCCCCCTGCTGACCAATGCGGGCCTGCCCCTGGTGGATGGCGCCGCGGCCTTCTCCTGGGTGCATCTGCTGCCCGACTCCGCGCCCCACCCCATGCAGAACATCGGGGAGTACATGAGGTGCGTTCCCCCACTCCCCCACCCACCCACCCCTCACCCCAAACACGCACACAAAGGCGTCACCCCTGCGTCGACGGCCTGGCCACCAAACACCTGCGAATGCCTCGACGCTGGATCGGATAGGCAGCGATCCCTGGACGCGTCGAGCGCGAATTTGTTTGTCTGAGGTTGTGGGTGTAGATATGTGTGTGCACATGAGCGACAACGAGCGTGGGCATCAACGCCACGTTGCGCAACCCCCCAG